CTGAATCTAGCCAGTAATTAGTCTTGTTTTGTGTTTGTAAAAGAGATCCCCAGTATTCTATTGCCTGAGATTTTCATTTTGAGGGATATCTGCCTATTTTATTTTTTTCTTGTTGAGTATAATATTTTTAATTCACACTGCACTTCTCATTATATATTTCACAGATTTATGCTGCTGAATAGTATTCAGGGACCATCTAACATTTTCACATTTGTTGGCATTTTCCCCCTGAATGGCTAAATATGCCCTTATTTCCTGAATGCCTAAATAATTCTTTCTTTATCCTTAGAATTTAAAAACTTAACCTGGCTACATCTAGTGCTCATTTATTATGAATCAATATTGTTCAAATGCAGTGTGCTTTGAAATTTTCAGATTCACGTCTTCCTTGATTTCAGGGAAATCATTCCTGGTACCTTTGCCTGTCCCTGCCCAGACTACCAACTTCTATTACAGATAATATATGACTGTTGTTTTTAGCCTGATGTAGTGTAATCATTCTGAATTAGCTTGCTGCATCTTAAAACATTTGCTTTCAAATAAAGTCACAGCTCTTTTGCCAACTAGTTAGCAAATCATACCAGCACCTACTGAAGAGTAAACATGTTTGTTAGGCTCATGTTGATAACAGATTTTATATCTGCATCATGATGATGTCAGCATCTAATCACAGAGAGCAGCAAGGTGCATCCATTAGAGAGAGATTCTAGGTCAAGAATATCATTATTTCATGTAGAACAGCACTACTTGAGTATGGTCCAGAAATGCTCAGTGTGATGTTCATCTGGGAGCCTCTTAGAAATAGCAACTCTGCCCTGAACCAGAATCTCATGGGGCTAGGCTTGCAAACCAGCATTTCCACATGAGTTTTATCCATGTTCAAGTTGAACACACACTGGTCTAAAATAGCACTCTAGAAAGAGTAGGGGTTTGAATTAAGCAAATAAATAGTTATAGGAAAATAAAATACGTGGTTCGCACAGGTGACAGAGGGCTTGAATTTACAGGATGTGGCGCCTGAACAAGAGTGAGGCAGACTATTAGGGAAGCGCTAGAGTTGTGCAAGAAAGATACAATTTCAGTTATAGGCACACTGGAATTGAGGCAAAGTGAAAATAAAAGTAATATAGTTCATCCTAGAAGAAATCCTTAAGCCTAATGATGTTTTTAAGGAGGCAACATAAAATTAGAAGAACCTTAGCAATGAGCAAAGCCAGAGCAATAGCCACATGGGAGGGGCGGGCAGAATACATGGAGCCAGTAAAGCAACATCACGAGGTAGAAGTGGCAAAGGGACGGTGTTCTGCAAGCAAGGAAGGAGAAGATCCCCAGATGGGGTCAACACCACTGTAATTCTGCTTTGTAAAGAGGAACTGAGCAGCTATTTGGATATAAGGTTTGGTAACTTAGAGAACCCCAGCCATAAATATTCTAAAGGAGTTACCATTTGTCATTTTGCCTCCTGGCCTGAGAAGACCTTCAAATAAATAACATAAAATGTCAGCACAGATAATGACTCAGATAATGTGCTTAGCCCTGGCTGGATTTCCCATAAGGGAGTCAGGAGTAGCGAGCAAACAGACCCAGAGCATGTCTGGGAAAAACTGTTTGATGCTGCAGGTTGTAGGGGGGCGGTGGTGGCCAGGATGGAAATCCATTCAAGCTGCGGGAGCACCAGGAACTGCACTGTTAACAGAGGTCTATTTCACACTGACTTTCAGATAATATTGAAAAATAGAATTAACCAACTTTCAAATGGCCATTGGCAGGTTTCCTCCAAGTTGTGTTCATTCAAATAAAATCAATATAGGAGAAAATAAACTTATTACCCAATCTGGATTCCAAAACCAAAATAATACAGTGATTTTATTATCAAGTTAGGCAGTACTCTCACTTGACATTCTCTGTTGCCTATGTCACTCTCGCGGTCATCAGCTGAGTATTTATTAATTCCTGGATAAGTACAACATGGACAGGCAGACCGTCGGGCCCCCAGGCTTTTGAGCTCCTTATCAGCTTCACTATCCAAGAAAATGATTCTACAGTAGTCAAAGTCCATAATAGGTTCTTGGGAACTGAGGCTTCAAGTGAAACAACATAAGAAAACCAATTTTACCATGGGGTAACTGATATAAACAAGAGTTAAGTTCCTATGGCATATTTCTAGTCATAAAAATATCATTAAATTTCTAAATAAAGACCTGAACATTTCTAATATTAAACATTCAAATAAATGTGAGCTGTGCATACACTTATGAAAGATTAATAAAAATAAGTAAAATAATTCTTTTCTAACCTGCTGATTCTAGTTCAGGGTCACATGTGGCTGAAGCCTGTCCCTGTAGCTCAGAGTGCAAGAGGGACCAACCCTGGAAGACACCCTTCCATCACAGGGCCACGCATATATACCCACACTCACTCAGACTGAGAAAAGCCAGTTCCCCTCATGCCTATGTCTTTGGAATGTGAGAGGAAACCAGGGCATCTATAGAAAACCCATTTGTACCTGGGTAGAACGTACCAGCTTCACACAGTCAGTGGCCCTGGTTCGGAATTGATTTTTTTTCATCAACATTATAATTAAACAAAGTTGAACCAAACGACATTATTGCAGGACCTGCTATACTTGGTGTGCTTTGATTTAACTTCACTGGTGCAAGATGTAAATAAAAGACCATGTAAACATCAGCCTTTTGAATTTTAAAAGCAAAATCTCTAATTTTTGTGAAACTCTGGTGTATCTCTTAGCAGGTTTAGTTAAAATAGACTGATATTTTCAAGTATTCTTTTAAATAGTCCATTTATATAGTTCAATACCTTGGAAATACAACAGAAATTTATATGCTGAATCATTAAAAATTAGATCCTTTAAAACTGAATTTCATTATGAATTAAAACTTGCCAAAGAACTCTTCTTCTAATGTGCTAATCAGCACCATCACAGGTAATGAGAAGATCCAGAACTTGGCTGAGACATGACATTTGTAATTTCCAGAGGTCCTGAAGTTAGAATTACCAAGCCAGTCTAAACCACCATCTGCATATTTAGCTACCAGTAGATCTCTTTGTGTGTCTGCCCTGAGTCCCCATGTGGTTTGGGACAGGACTCTCTTAGGACCCATGTATCCATGGTTGTTCCCCTGCTGGAAGGGACCTAACCCACTGAAAAAGGCTCTTCCCCTTGAAGTTAACAAACACACTGATGAGAGAGACATGGAAACTGCAGAAATAGTTTACATTTAGAGGATCTTCACCTATCGCCCCACCTGTGACTTGAGTCAGCAACATCTCCATGTCTATACCATGATTCAATTTGAAAATAGACAGTAGAATAAAGCAGCAAAAAATAAGGTCTATAAAACAAAAAAGTAAATCTCTGGCCCTGGATGGTGTGGCTCAGTTGGTTGGGTATTGTCCAATAAACTCAAGGGTCACTGGATCAATTCCCAGTTAGGGCACATGCCTAGGTTGCAGGCTTGGTTCCCCAAGGCACGTATGGAAGGCAATCATTGTTGTTTCTCTCACATCAATGTTTCTCTCCCTCTCTTTCTCCCTCCCTTCCCCTCTCTTTAAAATCAAAAATAAATTTTTAAAAAAGTGAATCTCTATAAGACATCTTTGCTGAATGGCACATGGTGTATTTTTACAGAATGACAACTACAAACCTGGAGACAGGAGTAGACAGCCTGGAATAGCAAACCAATGGCAGCCTGAGCTAATTTCCTGGGTATAGTGTGGTAGGAAGAGATCATTCCAAACAGAATTGGGCAAGCAAGATTATTGAAGGTTGTACTGTTTAAAAAGCCATGGATGTTGATGATAATTTCACTTCAGATCTATAATTTATTTAAGTTGGTCTATTTTTATTTTATTTAGATTCTGTTCAAACATACCATTTATAATAAAAGTCCTCACATATTGCGCTGGACATATGTAGGTTTACAGTTGTTCATATGAAAAAAAATACATAATACAAGAATAAACAATAATGCAAAACTAAATTCTATGTTTTGGGCATTCACAACTATAAACCTAATTTTGCCCACCCCTGTAGTTCATTGGTATGGGCGTGTTTGAAATAGCGGTGGAGCAAGTTGTTCAATGCTATGGATTAAATGTGTGTGTCTTCCCGAAATTCCTGTTGAAGCTCCAGTTTTCAAAGCAATGCTATGTGGAAGTAGGGCTTTTGAGAGGTAATTAGGTCATGAGGGCAGAGCCCTCTTAAAAAGGAGTAGTGTCCTTATAAGAAAATACAGGAGAAGTGATCTCTGTCTCCTGTCTGCCCCTCTATGTTTTCTCTTAAAACAACAAACTTTTAAAACCTCAGGCTACCAGACTTCACTGAACAGCTTCTAGAAGCTTTACTCATAGTAGCTGTTTCCAACTTCCCCCGTGCTCTTTCCCTTCCTCCCCAGTCCTCCCCTAGGCTGATCTTCAGAGGCTTGGGTGGTCTCCTTCGAGGACCTGATGGTCACCTCCTTGACCTGACTGTACCTGACCACATAGTGACACTACTCACAGTGACCACTCCTGCACCTGGCACCTGCAAGGCCAGCTCTTCCTTCTAAGACAGTTCTCAGGTCAAATGTCACCTCCTGGGAGAAGCCAACCCCTACTGGCCAACTATAGGAGCCTCGCTGGCTCTCACTACCCATCACTGTATTCATACCCACTGCATAAACTTGACATCACCTTTCATGTTGTCCTTAGTATAAGTTGGCTTGTTATCTGCTGTGCTTGTTGGCTTGTTGGCTTGTTATCTACTTTGGGATAATATTTTACTCAACCATGTCCTCTAACAAATTCCATTGTTTTAAGTTATCCAAACTGAGACTTGCCAAAGAAGACTTATTTTATGGGAAGTTAAGGAACAATACTTGAGAAATCACACACTGTTTTTCCAATTAACATTATAACTAATGTAGTGAAAAAAGAGAAATGTTAAGATTTCTCAAAAGAAGCACACAGGATAAGGAATGAAGTAAAAGGAGAGCTCCTACCTGTGGCCAAGTAGATAGTGTGGATGAGGGCATCCCTGCCCTGTACCAGGTCGACGGCCACGTGGGAAAAGCGGCTATTGTCCTCCATGAAGGAGGGCACAGTGGTCACTGGCTGCACCACCTCATGCATCAGTATGAACTTCTGAGCATCCTGCAGGTTCCGTTCTGTCAAGTTCACATACATTCCCTGGTCCACCGTGCCACACTGCAAGGGAAAACAAGCCATTACTGGAACCAGCTACCTGGACATCCAGTGATCCTGGCCACCCAGCTGGAGGCTGACTTGGAAACTGAATAACTGTACTGTGCAAACATGCCCGCTCCTCCACGGTCCCTGAAGTCCCCACCCTAGTACCTCTCTCACTTTAGAGTTGCATTTATATTTGAGGAGTCTCTCAACTTCATCATAAATGGATGATCAAGAGTTAAAAAGAATAAATGAAGTGGAAGTCGTTGCTAACTTTAATTTGAACAGTATATGCATGAAATCTCCACATCGCCTGCTGAGTCACTTGGGAGTCCTCTGACTAAATGCAAATACATATCTTATATCTGGCTGACAATTCAGATACCCAAATTGAAAATGCAGCAATCAAATACATAATACAAATTTATTAGTTCTTTTCTTTTTTTAACTGGAGCAGTGGGTCTATAAGCAAGATGTGGATTCCATGGAGATAGAATTAGGCCATTTTAATCTGAAAATCATGTAACATTATTCCAGTATCTTTGATATGGATGACAAGAACACTGTGCTGGTCTTACTGTTTTATGCTCATATTCCAAGTTGGACAAAACAAAAAATTTGTGTAGAGTCTAGGAAGATTAGGAATAACATGGTGAATTTGCAAAAAGGGAGGGAATAAAGAGATAAAAGAAGTGAGGGAGGGAGGGTGGTGAGGAGAGAGAAAAATGTGAAGAGAGAAAGAAAAGGAAGGAAGGGAGGGAGAGAAGAAAAAAGGGAGGAAAGATTCTCAGATTGAGGAAGTATATGAAGATGAATCTGCGATATACTGGGGGGGAAATTGGCCTAGAAGTTGCTGACAACTAAATTCAGAGCTGTGCTCTGAAGAAGCGGGGAGGTATTATACAGGATGCTTTTTGACAAGGATGAGATAGAAAGAGGGGTGAAAAAGAAAGCAAAGCTTTTCTGGGACAGAACATAGAATCAGAAAATTACCTCCGACCTTTCTCATTTCTTTCATAAACTTTAAATCCTGGTACCAATAAAGGCTGATCCTCGGCAGAACTTCCTGTAAGTCGGTCAGATGAAACATACCATCTGAAACTACCATTTATAACCTGCCATTTCTAATACTTGGTTTTATAGCAGGTTAGAGGTATAAAGTGTAAGATAGAAACTGCTTCATTTAAAACAGATGTTATTTTTGTAGCACTCGATAAAATACCCTACATACCATAAAATGATAGGCTGATTGTAGAATTAGAGAATTTGGGAATGAAATAGGTTTTGAGTAGGGTCCAATACTTAATTTAAAGTCACATCCTTGCAGGGGCACCTCGGGTGCCATGCAATAGGACCACATGCTGTCAGGTGAAGGACTTAACTTGGCCATCAGCAGCCACGTGGTCTCAGGTGAGGCATTGCTTCTCAGCTTCTGCATCTGCCTGCAAAGTGACTAGAAAGACTGGGCTCACATCACAGGACTCTCTGAGACTCACTGAGATAACCAGGGGAGAGCATTTGTAAATTAATTGCAAGTGCTTGTAAATGCCAAGGCACGAGACAGTGTGCCTGGCACAGTAAATCAATGGTCAATGCACTTGTCTGGTAGCAGAACAGCAATTCTATGGTCCATTGAGCTGCAGTGGCCAGAGGAAAATGAATGAATAAAGAAAGAAAGGAATCAATGGATGAATACACTAGCAGTTGCTATTGAGCCAGGGGGTCTGCACTAGGGGATTTTATATAATTATCATATGTAGTCTCAACACTTGGAGGACAGGAACGTTTCTGTTAACCCATGTGTTACAAAATGGAGGAAAGCTGTACTGGATTCAGTGTGAACTCTATGGAGATGAGTTCTTGTCCTGAGAATGACTTTATGTTTGACATTTGCTCTTCCTTAAATCAATGGCAGCACTTATGGTACAGGTAGTAATTAGCTGTCTGCCTGTTGTATGAGGTCTTGCACGCAGGTTTTGCTTTGTATGCAGTGTTTTTAAAAATTGGCATCATAAAAGTAGGAGGTATGTAGAAGGACCAATGACCACCGTTGTTGTTTTTATTCCTGAACCCCATATTTTATTTAAGTCATAGACTTTTAATATTGTGATTTATAGTAAAAAAAAAAAAAGCTACATTTGGCTTCTTCCTGTTTCTGGCACAAGCCCCTAAATCCCTAGAGATTTCCCAAGTTATGACCAGAATAAAGATGCCATTAGTAATGTTAATGAGGTGACTTTAGGACAGCATCTAAGGATGTGGTCTGGTTGCCAGAGGAAACGACCCTGTGATTAGAGGGCTGGAACTTTCCGTCTCACTCCCTCTCTTGGGAGGGAAGAGGAGCCGGAGGTTGAATTCAGTCACAATGGCCAATAATTTAATCAATGAAACCTATGTAATGAAACCTCCATAAAATCCCCAAAAGACCAGGTTCAAAAAGCTTCAGGGTTATTGAACATGTGGAAGTGCTGGGAGGGTGATGCGCTTGGAGAGGTCACGGCAGCTCTGCTGCCATTCCCCACACCTCACCCTGTGCATCTCTTCCACCTGCCCTTGAGTAAAACGTTTCTCTGAGTTCCATGAGCTGCTCAAGAAAGTTAATAGAAACCAAGGAGAGGGTTGTTGGAGCCTCCTATCTATGGAGTATTGGCGAGAAGCAAGGTTGACAACCTGGACTTCAAACTGGCATCCAAAGTGGGCACGGAAGGGCCTACATGTATGGTCGGATGCTATCCGTGGGTACATAGTGTCAAAACTGAGTTGAATTGTAGGACACCCAGATGGTGCTGGAGGATTGCCTGGAGGCATGAGAAAACCTCCCACACGCTGGAGTTGGGTGACAAAATCATTATTCAAGGACTGGTTTTGAACTATACTCTACAATGTGTTGGTTTCTTTTCTCTAGCCTGTAATGAATATCTCACCCAAGGATTCTTTTCCAATTATTTTGAAAGCTATTTAGATTTATAGCATGCATTTATTGGATCATAAGTAACCCATGAGTTCTCTAGTGAGCTGCAAATTCTCTAGTTGTGCCTTATAGACTGGGCTCCCACAGTGTCTGTGTGACACCCTGGGGACTCTGCGCAAAAGGAAAACAACAAAAATAACTAAAACACAGTTACTGTCCTCATATGGCTTACCACAACCCATAATCGTTGTCTTGCTAACACCTCTGAGAGTACTAAGGTCAATAATTCTACTAATTGTTAAATTCAATATTTCCATTTTTCTTTATCTGTTTCAAGGACAACAGATTGACCTTTATCCTAACTTACAGGCACTTGACGGGCAAGTCTATAATCACGTAACCTCACGCTGAGGATGTCTGTTTTCATAACTTTCCTCCTGTCTCGCTGCAAATCTGCATTATGTATCAAGGGGCCCTGATGACATGGCCAAGTCCCTTCATGTGGTCCTTCAACATCGGCTTCCTCATCTGCTTGGCTGCCATTGAGTTGAAGCTGTATTATCCATGTCGCTCCATCATTTCAGATTGGTTGTCATCAAAACTGCACAGAAACTTTCAGAGTCTATACAACCACAGCTGTGCCACTGGGGTCTGGGTCAGTAAGTGGGTCTGGGTGACTTTGGGGGCCATGGCCTGTAACAGGACACAATTTTACAGCACCACCTACAGTGGTTTCTAGAGTGTAATTGATAAGTAAATAGTTTTTGTTGCTTCGTTATCATTTTCAGTGGAAATTTCTGTATTAAATCTTGAATGATTATGCACTGTCTTCCTAACCCATACTTCCTTCTGAACTTGAACCATGTTTCTGCTCCTCTAATTAGTAGTTACTTCTAGTATGTCAGTTCTGCATAAAATTCCAAATGTCAGTAGGCAAAAAGGAATTAAAAAAACAACCATTTCTCTTTGTTGGCTATTGCAAACATAAGGCCCTTTACACATGACTACTAGAGGGATCTTTAGTTGAAAACCTATTTCACTTTGTGTCAGACTAGATAGTGCCAGGAATGTCAGTAAGGCAGCCTAACCTACCACGGTCTCAGATAAGGTAAACCGAAAGGAAACACTTGGAACATATTTGTACTAGGTGTTGTACAAAGAACCACCATAAAGTATAACTTTAGTTTCCCACAAATCTTAAATTCCACCCAAAGAAGACAAGCTCAGCTAACCAAGCTTCCTGCCCCAAGTGAAAGCCAAGTGTCTACAAGCTTCATTTCTTACACTGTAGACTGGACCCATTGCCGTCTCATAAACGCGAGTAAGCCCTTCAGTGTGACACTGGCATTATAAAACCAGATGTCTGTGGCCTTAGGAAACGAGCAGATTTGCTGTGGGCTACAAATATATCCAGATACAGGAGCTAAATTTACCCACTGCTCAGAGGCAGTAAGACATCACAAAGTTTGTAAGTCACTGCTCTTTGTAAAGACTTGCATTAGTAGCATCAAGAATTAAAAGTACGCCATAAGTACAGTGAGCATCATCATTAAAATTTTTTAACCATTAGGGTTTTACAATGGACTTCAGTAAAGGGAATGGTATATTTCACTTTCAGGATTTTACAAAGGGTCTGCATCTGGACATGGGTGGGATTTAGTTACAGAGACTCAACAAAAAGGCCAAGAGTCAGTGTTTAGTTAATAATTACATAAACCATGTATGTCATCAGGAAAAGTGTCTAATGTCTGTTTTGTCCCCACTAAACTGTTAGCTCGCCTGACCCATAATAGGAACTCCTCTGTCCAGTACTGAACTTTCTCATCAGCAAGCCTGGGATAATAAATGTGAATCTGAGCCCTCAATTTCCTGACTAAGTGTGGACACAGATGCCCACCTCACAGGGTTGCTGAGAAAAGAAAAGCAGACAAAGTGTATAAAGCATTTATTTGTGACACTCAGAAGGCACCCAATAAATGGTCCCCGAGAGTCGTCTTCACCATGTACATTATAGAATAAACAATGCACTTTAATTGATATCATCAAAATTTACTCCTGAAATATACACGCCTGTGCATTTGTATCTCTCTGTCCTCATTTTATTGAGGAAAATATGAGACAAGATGCTACATAATTTGTGCAAGTAAAGCAGTAAATGGAGAAAGGATGTGTAAATCACCCTTCTTATTCTCAATCCCATTCTTTTTTAAAAATTTAAAAAACAAAAAACTGTTTCAAAGCAAACAGAACTGAACAGTCCCCTTCCCTCTACTCCCTCTCATCACCCACGGACATGAACAATGGTGTGGGGATTGACTGTGGGAAGGGAGGCCGCCCCACCGGGGGGTGGCGGATTGGGACAATGGTAATAGCATAAACAATAAAAAACATTAAAAAAATTGAACAGTCCTTGCTGAAGTCCAAGTAAAGTGTAAAACAACTGAACATTTCCATATCCCCTGCTTTCTCAAAGCCAAAGGTTGTGTGTGTGTAGGATGATAAACCAACCAGAATTCTGAGGTCTGGATATGCAACGCAGGTCTGGCACTGATTAATTAGGGTAACTGATGGTCCTTTAGTGGAAAGAAACTGGGACATTGCATCTGGGGACCTGCATTGGATCCCAGCTCAGTCACTCATCCCCAGTGTCCTTGGCAGGACCATCTGTCCTGGAGAAGGTGTTAGGGATCAGAGCACCGCTGCCAGCAGGCAACATGAGGCAGTGACGCTCTGAGCGCCCTCTGGAACTGGGCGGTACCAAACACACACCCATGAGGATGATGACGAGCCTTCAACAATTTTTGTCAGAACAGTGGCCCTCCAGGGAAGCCTACTGTTAGAAACTAAATGTCTGTATCTCCTGCAATTTCTTATGCTGAAGCCCTAACCCTTGGTGTGGCTCTCTTTGGAGATGGAGCCTCTAAGGAGGTAATTCAGGTTAAATGAGGTCATAAGAGTGGGGCCCTGATCCCTCAAGGTTCAGTGTCTCTCCAGGTGCACTGAGGAAAGGCCATATGGGGACACAGCTGTTAGGCAGCTGTCTAGGGAGACTGCTCTCACCAGAATAACCAGAAACAGAATCAGCCAGAACCTTGATCATAGATTTCCAGCCTCCAAACTGTGTGAAAATCAATTTCTTTTGTTTGAGCCACCCAGTCCGTGGCATTTTGAGGTGGCAGCGCAGCAAACTCACATAGCTGCTGACCAACCAAGAGTAAATCACTTCCTCTCTTTGGGTCTCAGCTAGCTCTGCACCTTCAGAGATGGGAATAAATGACATACAGGGCCTCTCATTGGTGGAACAGCCTATCATTTTGAGATTTATGAATTAATGGCCTCCAACTGTTCTTTCCCCACAGCTGTCCCATGCCATCCCATTTACCCCAGAGGGGAATCTTGCCACAGTTGCCAATTAGCACTCTAATGCTGTGTGTGCATTTCCACCGCGGTGCCTGGGAGCCCATTCATCAGAGCATCATTCATGAGGGATCAGAGCTTCTAAGGACAGAGTCCACCATCATTAACACTAATTGGAGCGTGGTTACGCTGGCCTTTCCCAGTCCAGCCTGAGGCATCGCAGCTGACAAAAGGCCCTTTTTGGTCCTGGTCCCTGAGTTGACAAAAGGTTCAATCTATTCACATGAGCCAAGCCCAGCGTGGGACTGTCCATGAGGGGTCTAGGGAGCCCATAGATGTCCATGCAGCCACCAGGGTTTAAATAGTCCCAGACTGTCTCCAGAAGGTATCAGCATGCTTTTGAGGGGCAAGACAGAGTGAGTGCCCTAATGTCCCCTGACATTACCTGGAAGTTGGGGTTTGGGTTGGGATATGGCAGCCAGGCAGAGCGTGAGTTCTCCTGATACTTGAAGGGCCCGTTAAAGGCCTGTGAGATGGCGCTCAGGTTGAAGACGCACACAGCGGAGGCGGCGATGCTGTTCCTGGGGGCGGAGGAAGAAAGGAGGTCAGAAAAATCCTGCAGTGACCACTCTCCCTCACAGACCCTTGGACGCCGCCCAGCGGGAGCACCTTCTAGAGACCCTCAAGATCCCAGCCTCGTAAACAACCCCAAGGAAGAAGTCAGAGCTGTGAGCGGCGCTTCCCTGTGACTTCTTTGTGGATGAACAAATACTTCAGTAGAAACAAGGCTGTTTAACAGTTATGACACTTGTAATCCTGCTGGATGGGATTAATTCACTCAGCCACAACTGGAGTGACAAAGGAGTTTTGAAAAGCCCTGTGTTATGCCTTTTAAATTCTGAAGGAAAAAGCCTTTCTCCGCCAGTGGCTGGCGCCTCTCATCCACCAGTATGTCCCCCTCACTCCATGTATCTGGTTACTTTAGTGGGCACTGGGGCAAGCTACTGCTTTTTTTTTTTTTTTTAATAATCCCCAGATATTTGTGTTTATTTGTAAACCTTTAAAAATAATCAACTAAAATCATTTTGTACAAAGTGCCTGTCAGACACCCTTCATATATTCTTTTTATAATTTAAAAAGGATGAGAGGGAAAAATTGAGAACATGCTGACACCTTGAAGCTATAATTTAGAATTCAAGTTCTGCAGAGACGCGTAAGTGCAACGACTTCAGGAGTTCAGTGACCTTCTACTAAGTGAGGAAACAGCAAAATATTTTTTGGTTAAATAAATCTGCATTTTGAATTTAGCTTTGGTTTTATGTTTTCTTGTTAATAGTTTTAGCCAATAATAAGTCCACTTATCGTTCCTCCCCAAATCAAAGGAAATTTCATAGGAACTCTAAAACAGAAATATCTGCCTTAAACTTGATTTATTTAGACAAACACAGACTCGTTGCTAGATGCCATTCTAGAGGCTTTACAAATTTCAATTCACTTAATCATCCTGAGGTAAGGGACAGTCACTGATAAGTAAAACAGGGCACAATTAGGTCGACACGCCTGCCCAAAGTCACCTGGCTACTAAATGAGGGAGTTCGACTGGAACTAAATGAGGGAGATAGTTCTGCTCAAAAGACCAGGATTTTGAATTCTTTGTCCAAGCTCTGTGTGGACAGTATTAAAACCACCCCCCTGGAAATGTAGGAGCCTTGAAGGCAGGGATGCATGTTTCTTCTGGAAGCTCTAGCACAGAAGAGAGAGTGGCAGGGAACAGGCTTATCCCCACAGCTGGGGAATAAAATGATAGGTGCTACATATGAACCTAAACATACAGCTGTTTTTACTCTCTCTTACTTTTCCCTTGGAAAAGAAGAACATGTTAAGTCAAAAAATGCAAGAAAGACTTAGCCTCTGAACATGTAACTGGACTTTAGGAAGAACAAAAAAATGGCTATGTTAGAGCAAGGAGAGCAATATGCACAGCAGGGTGCCTACCAGGGGCCAAGTAAGGCCACCTTGGTCAAGGAACAGTGTTTAATGATGATAATAATAATAATAATAATAATATCCTCCTAAGCACTGTGCTAAGCACTTCATAAGGGTTACCTCATTCCTCACAGGGACCCTACGGACGTTGAGACCAGCCTGTGTACACAGACGAACAAACAGAGGCACAGGGCGGTCACTTCATCCAAGTCACAGGCTGAGGGGAAGTAGAGCAGGACTTGCGCCTGCCTTGCACAGGGCCCCAGTGTTCCTGTTCACAACCCCATTGCTGTGCTCCCTCCCCTTCCTGCTGGTACCCCATTTCTCAGTTCACTGCATTCAATCACTCTGAACAGGCCTGGACACGTATCTGGGGTCAGCCCAGAGTCCCCCTGGGTGCTCCAGTGGCAGGCAGTCCGGACCTCTGTGTCAGTTGTTGGGGGACACTTCTTCTTGACCTTCATGGTGAGTAGAGCACCACTGGTGCACCAAATACACACACACACACACACACACACACACACACACACACACACTCCACCCTTCCCTATACCATTGTACTTGCAGTAGGGGGAGGGGAGCAAGGGATCAGACATGTCCATTGTGGTCCTTCCTTCCCACCTCCCTGGGATAGGCCTGCCTTCCAAAATTATATACCCACATTTGCCTCCCCATCCCTGCAGACAGGTGAGGCCTGCCTAGGTCTAGACTATCATGGCCTCGTGGATGAGCTTCCCTGAAGCTGGGATCAGTACTCATAAGCCCATTTGGCGAACAGACCATCAACCACGTATTGCAACCTGGCCTCCCTCAGTAATTACGGGCATGCTGGGGCCTTCATTTAGTGCTAAGAGTTATTCCTTAACTTGTTCAGAGTTCAGGTGGGTGAAAGTGGAGAGAGGTGAGCCCCACAGTAGTGGAACATAAAGTTTGCTTCTTTAGTCTACTGAAAGCTACAGAAAGAAAAGTAGAGATGTTCATCCCAGTTCTTCAATGCCTAAGAAGGGAAAAGATATCAAAATCTTCATGGTTTCCAACCCCCAACCCTGCCATTCACTATTTTTCAGCCACCAATTATAGATGTCTCAGAAAATATAAGCGAAACGTTCAGAAACTCTGCTGCAATAATATGCCATGTCCTTCAGCCCAATTCATGTCCACGGGCGTGAGGAAACCATACAGTCACGGGGACAGAGGGAGCCAGGACAGTGACCCCCCTTCCCACTCCCCAGTGTTCAGAGACCTTGACAAATATACAGAATCTAACTAAAACTATCCTATGAGCAAAAGCACCAGAAAGCTGAGTCTCGGCATTTCCCAAGCACCTAATTCAGAAATAGGAAATGACCGTCTACCGCTGGTCATCATTTTGTTCCAGTTTGCAACAGGTCTTATCAAGAACATGATCATCAGTTGAGAGGGTAAGATCAAGGCTGAGACACGAGAGGGAGGAAAATTTGGACACAGTGTAGGATTGGAGATGGATATATTGGAAAGTTGTTCGCACGACCCAATGAAAGTATTCAACAGAGAATGGAAAGATCTAGAAATTCTGCCTCTGCTAGCACAGATGTTATATACTGGGTGATTTCCAACATGATGGGTGTTTACAACACAAAACAAATTGTCTGGAATAGTCCGAAACTTATTTTTGAGAGCACCTAAACTGACTATTCACCATCTTGGAATGGCCCTGGCACAGTACTCACATAACTTTCTAAATTGTTCATTTTAGCCCAGAGCTAAGGGAATGAACAGCTAACTAAGCCAAATCCCCATTGTGTATAAAATTGATGTCAACCAAACAACTGAACATTCATCTTATGCAGTCTACACTATTTCTTAAAAAAGGTTTTGGAAAGCAAATCAACTTCAGAAACTATAAATTGATTTTTTAAAAGAAACTTATCACAGAGGGAAAATAACCTCTGGGTTGAAAACCAGATTTACAATAAAGATGGTCATGGTGGAGTGGGGGTGGGTGGGAAACCATCCATTTTGGTCTTATTTTTCTGTCTTCATGTCAGAAAGAAGACTCTTCATGGAGTAAATATTATTATCAACTGAATGTTAACACTTCAGCTCAGCAGTGAAAGATCAGAAGGGAAAGATCAACGGGGAAGTAAGATGCAGATAAAGTGACTCTTTGGAAATGCAATTCACTGGCAGGCTTTGGATGCAGGAGAGATGAGAAAGAAAAAAGACTTAGAATCCCAGCAGACATCACCCAGAACTGAGAGGTCTCCTGAGATGGAGCAGGGCTGTCCCCAGTTCTAAAACTAGAACAGTCCCAGATAAACCCAGATGGCTGGTCACCCCACCCCATTTATCAGCACTTTCAACCCATCCTGAACCAGCTCCTTTATTGGGGCTCCAATGATTGGACTTTTGTCCAAGCTGTTAGGCTAACAGTGTGACAGTTTCAAAGGTGAGCAAAACCAGAACCCACGCTGCAGAATAACCATCATCACGGGCAATGCTGAGAAAAGCGGAGGCTAGTGACAGTGTGACCTGTGGGTCCGGGGCTGCGTATGGCCCTGAGGAGCCCTATCACAGCAGATCAGCTAAAAATGGGAGACGAGTGTGGGGTCCTGTTGCAGTCCATCAGATTAGAGTGAACAGAAGATCAGAAAACTTCATACACTGTATCTAGTACAAATATTGTCAGTTATGAAACTAAGGGTATCTGCCCACAAAAGGAAAAAAGGCCATTCTTTTTTTCAAAAATATTTTAAAAGCATAATCATCGTTTTAGAAATGCCTGCCTACAAAAGTCATCTTCTAGAATAATAGCTTAAAATGCAACTCTGGGAAAGTGAGAATGTGCATTTCATATATGAGCAGTGGTTTACTCAAGAGTTATATTGTCTCAAAGATTAGACTTTCCAGACAATAGTGCTCTCATTATGCACAAATGCATAACTTGCATATAGAAACAAAAACACATCTAACACATAATAGCATTTACAAAATTACTGAGAACACCCTGGCCAATCAGGAAGAAACATTTCTCAGCAGAACAATCTGATTCTGCTATTCCAATAAGGATAGATCAAAACCTTTTGATTCATTTTATTTTCCTAATACCAGTCTCAGAAATCAGATTTTAGTGTAACATTTAATTCACCTCAAAAAAAAAATTTGGCTGCTAGCCCAATAAAATAAAAAAGGTTTCTTTTTAAAGCTACTTTTAAACCACAAAGGTCAAAAAACAGTAGACTCATTCAGAATGAGTAGAAGAGCAGGAAAAGCAATTATTCCCAGTTACATACACATTGGTGGTAAAGATGCCGTAGATCAAGTCCAGCTCAGGCAGGAAGAAAGTGCTCTGCAGCTCGTTGTAGTAGAAGGGGACCTCCCCAGGGCGGGAGCAATTCAGGCGCGCCTTCATGAATGTGGTCCAGGTGTCCTCCAGCAGGAACCGCCCCCCAATGTCGTTCTTGCAGACCCGGGCAGCTCTGGAGAAGACGGTTTTCCCACAGTCATGCTCCACAGCATTTTCTCGGAAAAAGAAGTAGGTGAAATTCCCAATGTCGTAAGATGACACGAAGTTTGGCTCTGAAAATGACAGGAAAGAAGTAAAGTCTTAACCTCCACGTGATATTTCTTTGTATATTGCCTGTTCATTATTTCTTCCATGGGGACTTGGTTTTGTGTAGACATCTTATAGGATGAAGGGGAGGCCCTATGAGCATCTTAATGGTCTGTGCTGCTGGGTAGAACTGGCCACAGTGACAAGAAATTACCATAACAATTCCACAGGTGACTTAGCAGCCAGACTTAGTGCAGGGTCAAGGAAACATGACATTAATACCATAAAAAATGGGCAGTGAAGATATGCAGCCTACTTTAGAGCAACACCTATTACTTTATTTGTACACAAGATTATATAATATTACATAACCTTCAAAAAGAGAGAAAATAAGATTAAAAACATGAAATGTGATTCATTATGCAGGGTAGGGCAAAAAGTAGGTTTATATTTTTGTTGACATAAAACAAAGCTTATTTTTATTATAATCTATTAATTATTGTGTTATTTTTTCATAAAAACAACTGTAAACCTACTTTTGCACCATCCTATATAAAAGTCTCATATCATTGTTGTATGATAAGACAAGAAAGTTTTTTGATTTTGCTATTATACACATTTATGACTGACATAATTTATGTGCTTTTAGTAAGGACCATAAAAATGTTTTCCATTTGTGAAAACTGAAACAAAAACTGAAATTGTAAGGTTAGTGTCCTAAATGAGCTTTAGCATTTCCCATTACTATGGTAATCACATTACTGTGAGGATTAACCCCTATTTTCTTTTTTCTGGGTTGCTGGAGAATCCATTTAGAGAAAGGCACCATACTGAAGCAGAGTCATTGACCCGAATATTTTTGATCTCATAATTAGCTTAAAAATAGGGATTTAAAAATGACAGAAGTATGACAAGACCTTTACTTATCATCAAGCTCATGAGGAATTTAGGAATTACAGAGATGGTCCACTGAATTTTATATATAGTATGGAAAGCATTGTTTTTATAACTCTCTATTTAAGCCCATCAATAATACAGATGATACCCTTTCAGACACAGATATGCCCTCCTAATCATCTTTAAAAACACTAATAAACAGCTTTGATTCTTATTCTTTTCTCTACTGCTAAAAGTTTTTCATTTAATCAGCAAGTGTTTAATTTTATGGTGCCATTAGAATACTATAGCAATAACTTTTGGTATTCAAAATTAATGGAAAGATAAACACAACTACTATCCACACGAATGCGTTTCAGGAATAATTAGTTTTGGGGGACAATTCAGTGGGCCTTGTATCTTGCCAGATTCAATCAGAGTGCACCAATAGCCATGTTACCATCAGGGCAACTACAACTACCATATTTTGCCATGTATAATGCACACTCACATTTTTGTGTGCATTATACATGGGATTACTGTAACCACTATTATACCCATGATATGAAATCATTATACCCATGTATAAAGTGCACCCTTATTTTTCCCCAAAAAATTTGCGTAAAAGAGTTCGCATTATACACAGCAAAATACGGGATGTTTGGCTACAACATGATCCATAACGTTACGAGTAAGACAAAGAAGTTCACTTCAGATCTGAAATGCAGACATTGATTCAGAGGCTGACATGAAGGTGGCACTGAGTGCTCTACTATTCTGTCCAGAAAGACTGTTGCTGGTTTTCGATCAAGGCATACATTCAATGCCCTTATAAAATATTTCAATTTAACTCAACTTTACATTCTAAAAATGTAACAAATGTCCTAAATTGTATATGCAATATGTTTTTGTTTCAGTCCATTATATTGTTCTTAAGTCATTAAAGAATATCAAGTAATACAAAGAGAATGTGATAAGAAATTCTTTTAATTTATAAACTACCAAACATAACAAATACATCATTTTTGCTTTAACCTGGAGTGGATATTTTAAAAAACAAACAACAACAAAAAAAAAACCCTCCCTGGACTGCATTAAAGTGTACGAGATGGAGTTAAATATATTTACTGCTACATCATGCTTTTATATTCTGGAGATTACATATCTCTGACTTGTGTTTCTTAGAAAATAAAGCAAAATATTGGGGGAAATTTTGAATATGTGTTTACAATCACTCTCTAAAAGAGAGTTACTTCTAAAGCAGACTCCAAAAGCCAAGATAGGGGACAATTACAAATTATGTTTGGTTTATACAGAAAATATACACCTAATTCTAAAGAGAGATTAAATTGTTTGAGAGTAGGTCCTGCACCCAGGTTCCTATACGTAGGCTGCAATTTGATCATTATACTGAAAATAAACAAAAAACTATCATCTTCATCAATAACAACAACAACAAAAACAACAACAGACCTTACCTTAAAAAGAGAAAACAAAGAAACAAGGCCCAGGACTAGATGGGTCTAGCCCAGGACTATGGTTACCAGCACTTGAGGATTATGTGTGAGTGGAGACCACAAGCTTTATCAAACACGCTCCCAACCAACTGCTTCTGCTACTGACTTGAGGACAGGTAGTAAAACCACATAGTAAATATCTCTCATATGTAGGAAGGCTCAAACAGGGAAATAAGCAGCAGCAAAGGTAAGAAGATTTGTTGTGGTTCTTCCAGGTCAAGGTTGGTCTACAATTTAAGAATATCTGTAGGGAGCTGATGCTGCTGTGCTGGACTCTGAACTCAGTGCTTCACATTCATATTCTAATTAAACTCACAGGAATCCAGAGGTAGATGCTGGGTCATTCTTTCTGTGTCATAGATGAAGACACTAAAGTCCAGAGATTTAATCACTTGTCCAAGTTCACACAACGTGTGGGGCAGTGCTAGGGGTTATGCCCTGAATGCAGATAGTCTGACCACATAGCCTTTACACTTATCTGACCACACTGACTACATTACACTGAAACACATAATGGGCAGCACCAGAACAATCAATTATGTTGACAATATTCAAGAAAGAAAAAGATGGGAATTTTGAATAAAGCTTTGGAAACCAAAGCGGTGAGCAGGTATATTCAGGATCATGATGAAGAGGGTCTTATACCCTCGTAGAGGGGAAGACAGACGCCTAGAGGAAACTTGGCCCTGAAACTTTGAGAGACATCAGGAAAGATACAGAGAGAAGAAAAGCAGGAAGAAGGAGCCAAGAATCCAAGCAAGGGCTTACAAAACACAAATCTTCTTGCGAAGTGATTGCCCCACCCCCACAGGTGGTGTTTCACATGGCCGCCACCATAACCCCAGAGGGCCCCTGGGTGACTGGTAGGGCGTCTAGTTCATGTTGTCATGGATTGTCCAGTCCACTGAACAATCTCACTCATATTTCTCATGTAAGCAGAGTGCAAAGTCAAGTCAAGCAGATTGGCCCATAGCTTCCTCTTTCCAGAGAATCCCTAATATCTCTTCAAGCCCTCCTGAACCAATTTTATGATAGGATGACAAAGTACATTTTACATAGACATGCTCGAACAATTTCCTGCTGAAAAGACAGGGGATAATGTGTGCTTAGTGTGTAGTGTACGCTGTTTAGTTCACTACCACACATTACAGGTCATTTTAGGGGCTAAGCTGCTTTTGGACACATACCCTGCCATCCTATAGTGGTCCTTCGGAATGCTGATAGGTCCCTGACTGAGTGACCTGCTGAAAAGTCAGGAAACTCCATTTCTTGGAAAGCAGAGCCTTTTGAAACTCAGCCTGCATCCTGTTTCTTTTCCAAAGACAACAAGAAAGCAGGAATAATTGTTAAACAGGCAGCCAAATAACTCTTGCATTTATAGATATAAATCTGGAGCTAAGGGGACGTTTGAGTCTCAGGCAGGATAATAAGATGCATATTGTTTCCCTTGCATTATTCAAGTTCTGTCTCAGGTTAAAATGCAATTCACCACCAACCAGTATCTGTCACTCCTAAGTGAACTAAACAAGTCACAAATCAGGCACTGCCTGATTATCTACAATGAATGTGAGTGTGTAAATGACGGATCTGAGGGATCCTTAATTCATTATCATTATTATTAGAGCTACAAAGGAATAGGAGGTGTGTTGCTAATTCAAAATAAAGCCGAACAAGAATATATGTCAGTTTATTATAAATATATCCATGGAGCTGTTTTATCTCACATTTGTAAAACACTGAATTATGCATTACAGTATTCTACAAAATCTGTCATGCTATAGGAAGGCTCATGTTTCGTGATATAAGAACTTTGATTTTATATCTTTACTTACATAAGAGTGACCAAGCCAAAACGAACACTAACAGGAGACCTATAATATAAGTGAACCCAGGAAAAATAAAAGCATCATCTTTAAGACAATTTTTGACCACATAAAAGCACCAGATGCTGAACATCCAAATGCACCCTTCCATTCCCTATTCTTTCCATTCCAGTGACTACCCCATTGGCCTGGAGGTGTACCAGGTTCAATGGTTCATTCACACAATTGACCAGGTCACTGTTTGCCTCTTGATATGGGCAAATTTGTCTACATCAATGAGTATGGATATTAAAGATCAAAAAGGAATTCCAGTTTTCCAGCTCAACAAAAATTTTGCTAGAATAAAAATCTCTCATAATTTCTTTTGCAAACAAAGGCCTTCTTAGGATATGCTTGTCAAAGGTAGGTTGGCCAATGCCTGGCATTGCAGCCTGCATGGATTGTGGCTCCGCCCACCCCAGCCTGAAACCTGGGGCTGGACCACTGATGTCCAAAATGCTCCTTCATCCTGGATGATGATTCAGGGCACAGAAGGACTGCTTTGCTGTGAGGATTAAAGAGATGGTTACATATAGTAAAATCCTAATGAGTGGTGGCTATAATTATTCATGATTTACTCTTGATTCCCTTTTAACAATTTATATTTGGGAAAACTTCACATAATGATAATCAAATATGCATATATTAAGCTTAAAGGTGACCAGAAATTAAGGAACATAAATACAGACATATATGCTGAGATTTTAAAATAGCAAGCTATTCCACCAAAAGAAAAAAGAGTTAATGGAAACAATCTCTACACATGACATA